GTTCTCGTTCTTGCCCTTTGGGAGGTCACCATCTTGTCAGACTCTCTTCTCTCTCTCAGGCAGGTGGTAACATGCTGGCACAAAGGTACACAGAACTCGCCAGTGGGGAACTTCATTCACACTTTGCCGGCCTCCATGTTTTCTGCTGTTAGAGAGGAACACCTGTTCCTAGCTTCTCATGTGGCATTCCCAGGATAGTGCTTTGCAAACCCCGCTTAGGATCTTGTTAAAAGTGCAGCCTCTGCTTCAGTGGTTCCAGGATGCTGAATTTCTAATAACAGGTCACAAGACACGAACGCTGCTGGTTCAGAGGATGGCCAATCTTCTCACCTGCAGGTCAGAAGGAAGGTCAGGACAGAGGGCAAGGACATCTGCTGAGGGACGGTGGAAAAGGTTGGCTGCAGAAGAGAGTGTACGGTGCCCCCAACACTTTCTGGGCAGAGAGAGGAACAGGTGTTCCTAACAGCAGTACAACTTCTCTGCACAGGCATATTCTATTGAGCTCGGTGGCAGCCTGTTTCAGGTTGGTTCCCTGGACAGCTGACTTTGAGGTGGAGATTAACATGTGGCATTGGGGTGCTCTCAGGTCCAACACCTATGGAGGAGGGAAGGAAGCAGCCTTGGGTCAGAGGAGAAGGTGTGGTGTAGTCTTGACAAAGGCCTCAGCTGACCGCACTGAGAGTTCTGAAGCTGGATGGCCTTTCAAGTTGTCCTGACTTGGGGAGAGGGACAAAGCCTCTCTACCCCAGCTTCGGTCCATCACTGAATGCATGCTGTCCCCAGAAGGGAGGGTGTGACCTTGAGGGAGGAAGCCCTCTTCACTTGGGGGCAATTCCTGAAGAGGGCTGTTAGCCAGCAACACTCCCAGCAACTAGGGGCAGAAGCCCTTCAGTCACGAAGGTAGAACTGGTTGGTTTATCATGGTGTCTACTCCTCCTCTGCTACTCAGGGTCACTTCTCTAAGTTCTGGGAGCAGCTCTCCTTTCCCTGGAGGAAAGTGATGGTTAATGAGACAAACCACAGTCCCAACCACTGCACCTGGTCTTGAGGCCCAACTGATAATTGTCATCTCCCTCCTCTACTAGCCATTTTAGATTCTTCTCACCCTCAGGAAGCTTCTCTGCTGGGCCCTTGTCCCCATGCCATTTTCAGGCCATGGCTGCTGTACTTGTCTACTTACGATTAAAACTGAGCAAGGGCACCCAACTGGATCATCTGGGTGCCAAACATCTTTTTTTGTCCCATTGTGGAACTGCAGCCCTGGGTCTTCCTCATGAGCAGGGTCATTGCTTCTGCCAGGACAGTGCCTCCTGCTTCTTACCTGTTCGTCCCTTGAATGAGGAGCTCAACGTGCCTGGTGGCAGGTATAAACTAAAGTTCAATGGGACCTTTGCTCTTATCTTTTTTTTTTTTTTTTTTATCCTCACCCGAGGACATTTTTCGATATTTTGTTCAGATAGAGTGGGAGGGAGAGAGAGAGAGAGAGAGAGAAACATCGACATGAAAGCGACACATCGAGTAGTTGCCACCCACACGACCCAACCAGGGCCGGGGACAAACTGCAACCAAGGTACGTGCCCTTAGCGGGAACCGAACCCGGGTCTCTCCGGACTGCAGGCCAACGCTCTAACCGCTGAGCCAAACCGGCCAGGGCAATGCTCTTATCTTCTGATGAATAAGTGATAACCACCTCAAATGGTAGTAAAGCAATCAGAAAATAACAATTTGGTTTTTTCTAGTGACTATCTTACCACCCCTTCTTATAATTGCAGTAAAGATTATATTCCTGAAATTTGAAAAATTTAAATCTTCTGATGGATAAGCATAAAAGTCCCATTACACTTTAATTTAGGGAACCAGGGCCTCAATCCTCAAAGCTCAGTTGTGGTGGCAGAAATACCCACAGTAGGATCATTGGGATCAGCGGTAAGAGGAGCCACTCCTACTTCCACCCCTTGGTTCCTAGACACAGCACCATATTGATTGTTGGTATAGAGTATATACTGTCCTGGATATGGTGCTCTATCCTTAGATGGCAGCATTTCTGTGCTGGCATCTCAACTGTGCCATCATAGCCATTCCTTCTTTCTGTTCAGGCTGGCATCTTCTGGATGGTACAGAATGTGATAGGGCCAGTGGATCCCACGGTCATGACTCTTGCTGTGTAAGGGGTCCTTTGGTCTTATGTGACATTATGTGGGATCTTCTGCCCATGGGTCAGACATTCAGTAAACACTCAAGATAGTGGTGCCGGATGAGGCCCTATAGGCAGAAAAGGCAAACCATATACAGAATGTAACAACTACAGTCAAAATAAATTGTTGCCATTCCCAGGATGGAAGGTATCCAATGTAGTCTTGCCATCAAGTCGTTGGTTGCTGTCCTGGAAAAAGAATGCCATTTTGGGGCTCAGCACTGAATTCGTTGCTGGCAGATTGGATATTCAGCAGTGGCAGTATCTCTTACCAGCCTTTGTGGATGGTGCCCATGCTCTGGGGTCCATATATGGCTCCCATCCCTGCCACGATGGCTACTCCACTCATGTGCCCCTTGTGTGGGTAATGAGATGGCCAATAACATCTGGCTGACATTAACTGGTGAGTCATTCTCTCTACTTGGTTGTTCAGTGCCCCTTTCATGTTGGTGTTCTCTGGTGGGCATCCACACACTTCTTGCCTACCCACATGGTGCATCCATGTGCCTCTATCCCACCCAGACCTCGTATTAGATCTAATTTTTCTCCTCCCAGGACTGATCAATCAATAAGCCAACTGCTAGTGCCGTGAGTCTGTATATATTCTAACCTTGTCTACATTTCTGTCCATACCAAGTGAGCAAACGGGTGCGCCACTGAGAGAATTTCCCTTGCCATTGTCTTTCAAGATCACCCAAGAGTGGAGCTACAGTGCAGCCATCATTCATTTGCAGCTTGCACCCACATATCATTCTGATGTATCAGTGAATCAAGCTTTGCTTTTCCCCCTCCTTGGTCAGCTGGTCATGAAGGGATCCCATCTCCCATGCAGTCATATGTGCGACCCGAGGGAGAGATGTTGGTGCATAATGGTAGGTGACATAGATGTGTAGAACATCTGCTTGTGTAGCTTACCTGTGCCCTTGGCCCCACTCATGCCCAATTCTGGATGTACCACTTCCGTCTTACTATGGATTACTTTGGGGCCTACTCAACTTTGTTTTGGTGATCTGATAGACAGAACCTAACTTATATAAGACAAGCTCATGATGAATTATTTTGGATCAACTTGAAAATATACAAAGAGAATTACGTTTTTCAATATTGTTCTGGAATACATAAGCAAGTTTGTTGATAAAAGACTGGGAGGTTAGGCTAGTGTACTGTTAGGGTCTGAACAAAAACGTGGCAGAGAAAATGGTATAGAAGAGAATGATTTTTCAAATTTTCAAGAGGAAGAAGTGATAGGTAGATGCAGAAATGGAGACAGCAAGCACATCTTTGCTATCCTTTTAAAAACAAAATCATTGCTGTAAAAAGAAGGGCATAGTGTTTGGAAAGAAGAAAACCTCATTTTTCTCAAAGCTTTTTGAAGATGGGCTAGACTATGTTTATGTACTGAGGAAAGAGCCATTAGAGACAGAGAAAAAATGGAGGGATTAGAGGGCTCAGCTGGAGTTCTGAGAACTGTTTGATAAACAAAACAAAAAGACCAAGCAGAAGTGCTTAGCTCCTTTCAATCAAGGGAAGCAGGACAGTCAGCAAAGTTAAACCTTTCTGCCAACTGCCCCTTCCTGGCCACCTTACCATCCTTAAAAAAAGCCCATGTCAACAAAATGTCAAATACTGTTTTCTGTTATATGCCCATTTTTCCTTACCAAGGGAAAATAAACATCAGTACCAATTGCCAGAGTAAAATCAGACAGTCTGGATAGGATAGATATAAATTTCAGCTCCAAATAAAGAATGATTTTCTCTTTCTCTTTTTGGAAAAATATATTTTATTAAGAACATTTAAAATTGCCCCACTAGCTACAGTAAGAGTGAAACTTCTAATGCATTGCCTCAGAATGCGCACGGCCCCTTTCACATCAAGACATCCTTCTACAATTTTTTTTTGTCAATAAGGTACTTAACATAAGTGGAAGAAGAAAAAAGGGAATGATTTAGTGTAAGGTTTTCCTATTGGACACTCGGCAGCTTCATTTTTGAGGTTGGGGACAGAGTAGTCATTGAATGCTCTTTGCCATCATTTAGCCAGGTTGTCCATGGGTGCTGCAAAGTAGATTTTAGGAAACCTGTCCACTTCCTCACGCTGGTACCTTCGGTTCACAGGGAGAGGGGCAGCTACTCCGCAACCGGGGGTATATGCAAGTAACTCCAAAGGGCTACCTCATTTCCAGACAGACGGGCCATCTGCCCACGCGGCTCTCCAGAAAGTGTCCTGGGCGCAAAGATTAGAGGAGTGCGCAGACTCCCACCCCGGGGCCATCTCTGTGTCCCAGATATTATAAGCGGTTGGAGGACAACCAGACCCGGAGGCCGAGGAAAGTGTGATGGCAGCTGCCGCCAGGCCTCAGCAGGGTCTCCATTCACCAAAGCCGTCTACACTGTCCCAACTACCTGGACACCCCCAGCGTCCCCACATAGGCAGTGCCAAGGCTCCATTCCACCCTAGACTCAAATTAGTGCGGCGACGCAGCACCGCGCAGGACTCCGAAGGCACCTGGCCGCGCCCCTTTCTCCACGGGGAGCGATGGGAAGGCCTGAAGATGGCGGAGACAGCGGGTCCCGACAGTGTCACGCTCGGGCGCCCTTGACTGGCTCCCGCCGCCGCTCCACCTACCTTATTAGGGAGGGGCCTCGGCGCGTGCGCAAAGGGGCGGGAAGGAACGGTGACAAGCACTTAGTGCGTCCAATCACTAGCGAGGACCCCAGGCGGCGCCCAATCGGGGCACGGGTAGCGGCGAGGCGAATAGGTTGTAGGAGGGCAGCGTGTGTGGCAAGTGGTGGACGACGAACGCCCGGGATCAAGCCACTCGCCTCGCTGCTTCCCGCGCGCTCCGCCCCGCCGCCCCTGTAGCCGGCGTGAAGACACTGAAGAAGCTGGTGCCCGCTGCCCTCCAGTTTCACGGCCCGGGCCCACGAACGCCTCCTGCAGCGGTCGCCGGCCACCGCCTCAAATGCGACCCCTCCTCACCGGCTGCTGCAGAGAGACACGACGGGTTCGGCTCTCGCTAACTAGGACAGTCGTTGGAGCCCTCCGAGCCCTCCCGGACTAGTTTCTCTATCCAGGGCGCGGTGCAGGCGGCAATGTTCCCGCGGAGGCTGGCGGGCGCGGCAGCGGCGCTGGCGGCGCGCGCGGTGCCGCGGGGCGGGGGCCTCCTCGCCCTGCTGGCCAATCAGTGCAGCTTCGTGACGGGCCTGCGCGTGCGGCGCGCGCAGCAGATTGCGCAGCTCTACGGCCGCCTCTACTCGGACAGCGCGCGTTGCGTCCTTCTCGGCCGCCTGTGGCGCCGGCTGCGGGCCCGCGCCGGCCATGCCTCGGCCGTGATGGCGGCGCTTTCCGGCGTCTTCGTGTGGGACGAGGAGCGGATCCAGGAGGAGGAGCTGCAGAGGTAGGCGGAGGGGCGAGGTCGTTGCCTTCCCGGGACGGCGCGGCGCAGGTGGGTAGGGCGGGACCTTGAACCTGGGCCGCACCCAGTAGGCCTTGAAGCGGCTGTGCAGGGGCTGAATCCTCTTAGCAACCCCTGCTTTTTTAAAAAAGAATTTTTTATTGCCTCTGTTAATTCGATTTGTCGGGCTGGAAATAGCAGGATATGTAGGAGGGGGATTTTTGAATGAGGAGCAACAAATGATGAGATGTTGAAGGCCATTGTTCGCCTAATCTTAAGCACACCCAGAAAGGTGCAAAATCAAGACAGGTTTCCAATCTGACGTTAGGGATAGACATGCAGTTTACAAAGTAGCTTCATTCCACGTGGGACTTGGTCAGGAATGCCAGGAGAGCTCTCGTCATTGTGATTGTTGTGGCAGAATGATGAGGCTGGAAGGGATTTTGCCCTCCTCTGACAAACCAGTACCCCGGACACTTTCATCTGAAAGAATTAGGTCAGTGTTTTACCACTGTAACCAGGACGTTGAGAGGACTGTTTCATCAGACTCTGAAATCGTGCTGTCTTCATCAAAACCTCAGTGTGAAAAATGCGTGTCATTGACCTGTGATTCGAAATCGGAGTCCTTACAGTTTTCAAGTAATCTAGAGAAGCCTTGTTTCAGCTCTTGATTTGCATTTTCTCTGTATTTTCTTTTTAACTAATATTCTTAAACTGTTATCTCTCTTCCACCACACATACACTGTGCCCCCTGAACTCTGAAACTGATTTCAGGAACCTAGAACAGTCCTCCTCCCCACCATAAATCCCACACACGGCTATTTATTCCAGACATTAGTTCTGTTATTCTGCATTTTTGGTTTTGGTTAAAAATGGAAATACTTAAGTAAAGTTAACATCGTGACATGTTTGGAGGTGTGGCATCCAGATGCCAGGCATATTTGTGCAACACTGTGAGTTGTGGGTAAATACAAGTTTATCTTAAGAACTGGTAATACTTTTTCTAGCAGGAAGGACCACTATTTTTTTTTTTTAATCCTCACCCGAGGATATTTTTCCATTTTTTGTACAGATAGAGTGGGAGGGAGAGAGAGGAAGAGAGAGAGAGAGAGAAACATTGACGTGAAGGGACACATCGAGTGGCTGCCACCCGCATGACCAACCAGGGCCGGGGACAAACTGCAACCAAAGTACGTGCCCTTAGCGGGAACCGAACCCGGGTCTCTCCGGACCGCAGACCGACGCTCTAACCGCTGAGCCAAACTGGCCAGGGCAGGAAGGACCACTATTTTATAAATGCAGTTTAAAATCATAACCACAAACAATCTTATTCACAAAAAAGTTAAGTTAGCAAAGTATAATTGGTAGTTTGCCTAGTTTACGTTAGTATTCTTTTGCTACTTGGCCATTTGTTCTAAAGAAACAGTCTTGGGTAGAAGAAATAAAACAAGGAAACTTTTAAATTGAGAAATTATCCATTAGCTGTTTGAATTTTCATTTTGCTTGTGATGATGAAATACCCGTATTCCACAGTGGTGAAGTTTGATGGGGAATTCCCGTTGGGTCTGTTTGGAAAAGGGGAGAAAGACCAGAAAAGGACTGCTGGGTACAAAAGAAAGGGAAGATGTTTTGGGAGTGGGTGGGAGTTGGATGGTGTTGGAGCCTAGGGAGCAGATGACATTCTTTGGCTTACTTCATGTGTATTTATTTTATTTTATTTTATTTTTTTCTTTATTGATATTAGAGAGAGGGAGAGGGAGATAGAAACATTGATGAGACAGAACATTGATTGGCCGCCTCCTGCACACCCCCCACTGGGGATTGGGCCCAACGTGGGCATGTGCCCTGACTCAGAATCACATGGGTCAATGCTCAGTCACTGAACTGTGCGCTTCATGTGTTTTTTGTTTTTTTTTAATCCTCAACCGAGGATATTTGTACATTTATCATCAGGTAGAGTGTGAGGGAGGGAGAGAGAAAAACATCGATGTGAGAGACACATTGACTGGTTGCCTCCCATGTGACCCGACCAGGGCTGTGAACAAACCACAACTGAGGTATGTGCCCTTGGCCGGAATCGAACCCGCAACTCTTTGGTCTGCAGGCTAACTCTAACTGCTGAGCCAAACCAGCTAGGGCACTTCATGTGTTTTTATGGACAAATGCTCTGGAGCCTCTTTTTAAGTAGGTCTTTCATTTGCAGGAGATAGAGGGGAAAATAAAATAGGAAATATAGCAATAAATGTTTGAGTTTAGTGGTCATTATCCACTGGGGCAGAAAGATCAGACCATTTGCTAACCAGGCTGAGTATTCATTCCATTTTCCTCTCTGCAGGCTGTTTGTGAAACCTGGGAGGCAGTTGAAATACTCTTGGTTCTAATCCAACTCCTAAAGTGGTATTACTCTGCGTTAACCTGCTTGGGAATTTTTGAAGTTTAGATTAAGGCCAAATCAGAACACTTAAGGTGCCTTTTTTGACCCTCTCCAGGGTTATTATAGTAAAGGTCCTCATTTAACAACTTCCTTGTTTAGTTCGTGCTTGAATTCAGTTATATACTTAAAATTTGATCAAGTTATGCATTTCGAGGATTTTAAAAAATGTTTATTATCTTAGTAGGGAGGCAAACAGTATGCTATTCAACTATATCCTGGTTGTACAGTAGTTCCATAAGTTTTTGTTCTGATAGCTTGTCATGTTTATATTTTATTGAATAACAATATTCTGGGTATAGGTTAACATTTTTTGCCTAGTGTTTATTCTGTTTGCTTCAACCAAGGCACTGCTGAGGTTGTCATAGCCAGCTTAGAACATCTTAGATTTTGATTGTTCTAGTGAGATGATTTTGGGTAGCTTCCATAATGGAACACAGTTGAATGTGCCTCGGGATAAGTGCATTTCTTTCATTGTTAATGGAAGAAGAGAAGAATTGTCCCATGGCCCTTAAATCACAGCCTTTGACTCTTCTGTGCTGTTTCTGTACCAACTTGTGCTGGTACAAACTATTCTGCGACTGCTCTCTTGGTTAAACAGTGATGGAGTGTGCTGCATATCTCTTTGAAATGTGTGCATTAAAGTGGCATGTGTTTTTTCTTATGTGATTTGAGTTTCTATTCAGAATGCCAAAGAATAACCATGCTTTCTATTCTTTTGTGTTTAACAACATTTAATAACAAGAAGGGTTTTGTTAATCTAGCAACAGAAAGAAAATTTGAGTAAAGAAGGTAGCCAGGTATAGAAATCAAGTCTTTTAATGTGTGGACTAGTATTCTTACCCACTTGGCTTCACTTAAACAAAATCACTTCAATCACTATTTTTGATGTTACTTGGCATTCTGTGAGCCCAGGGCAAGTCGTATGGAAAAATACAATCGTAATTTTTGTATTGCTTTGGAACATTAAGAACAAATTACAGGAACAAAAAGAGGAAGGAAGTTAAGAAATATGAAAGGTTTGGGGAAAATGTTCATTAACCTTCCCTCTTCTTAAAAATTACAATTCATTGTTCTAGAAATTTGAGTAAATAAATGCCAGTAAATTTTTATACAGAAAATTGGCTGTTTTCTCATTTTTGCTTTTCAGGGCATTCAGAATATGTACTTTTAACTTCAGTATACTATTAACTAGATAAATTATCAATAGAAAGGATTTTATTGGGCTAAAAGATTTTTTTAAACCACTGTTGCTTGAGGGTATTTTACTGGTATGCTCTTCTTAGATCATAAGAATGACATAAAAGCTGACTTAAATTTTTTGAGATTGTCTTCACTATTTTACTGTTAACCATTTGGCCCAGAATGGCAGTGAGCTAGTTGATCTCTTTTATTTCTAGGTGTGTTCCATACGGTGTTTAAAAATCTCTAACTTTGGCAATATGGAATTTGAGGAGAGGATTATGTGAAATGAGTCACTCGTCTTACTGAAATTGCTAATTACAGGGATTGCTTTACTTGAATCATTTTCAAGCTTTATATCAAACTCTACACTGAGGGCAGGAACCCCTAGATGAACCAACCATGATTATACTTACTATTCTGTTTTCATGGTTTTATGCCTTAAATTTCCATAGCTCTCAGTCTAGCCTTTCTCAAATACTGAACGGACTATTGTTTTGGAGAAAGACGCACTGGCTGCCTTTCTTTAATCCTTTTACTAATCTGATTCTGTTACTATTTTCAGAATAATCTCTTTTGTCCTTCTTTTATTCTTACTACTTATTTAAGTCACTTAGATAACAAGATTTAGCACAGCAGGCTACACAGATATGTGGTGAGAGGGTTTTCCTTCCTTTACATGTAGGGTAGTTAGTGACTTTGTGCACCTGGGTCTGTCATGTCAGCATTTAAGCAGTTGAGACCTTTCAGAGGTTTTGAACCTGGGGAGATAATCATTTACATTTTCATGATGCAGTCTTGTTCCAGCATTCATATTGTGCTATTCAAGGAACAAATGTTATTTCTTCGCAAGACATTTTTTGTCCCCTGTAGGGATTTAGTCTCATAATTTTAATAAAGGCCACTTAGTGCCCTTTAATTATATGGGTCAGAAACTCTGTACCACCTTGAGTCAGAAGGCCATTAAACATATTGCTTATAGTTCTATAGTTTAATTTTCTTAAAACCTTATTACTATGTATTTTAGTGAGCCTCTGATGCTTTGTTTTGTTTCTTTCCATTGATATTCTTAGCTAGATTGGGGGGGGCGGTGCGCAGAGACATCAATATGAGAGAGAGACATCCATTGGTTGCCTCCCGCTTGACCCCATCCAAGGCCAGGGATTAAACCTGCAGCCCAGGTACATATCCTTGACTGGCAATCGAACCCGAGACCCTTCAGTCTGCAGGCCAACTCTCTAATAGCTGAGCCAACCCAGCCAGGCTGATGTATTTTTAATAATATATTCCGGCCTGTCTTCATTATGTGATTAGAGTGACATTCGAGGGTGTTGCTTATTTAATTAAAGGATGCTTTACTAGTCCTGAAAAGTGACATGTGATGCCTGACTTGTTCTCTGAACAAGTCTAACTGTGGTTTTGCTTTCCCTCTGCAAGATCTTATTGCCTAGAGTTCCTTCCCTATTTCTATAGTATTTGCAGTGGTAGTAGTCAATCCTGTTTTGTAACTTTTAATTCAAATTAAACCTTTTCTAAAATGGTTAAACCTTTTCATCAGAACATCAGTGTAATAGGTTCTTGGTTGCAAACAAAGAAATTGATATTAGTTAATTTAAGACAAAAGGAATTAATCGGAAAGGTGTTAGGTCACTCAGCATTAATAAGAAGGTCAAAGTACATGCTGGCAAAAGAACAGCCAAGACCAGCTAGCTACAGGAATAATCTTCTTAGGGCAGTGTGGCTGGTTTTGTTTCCCCTAGACTGGTTGCACTACTGCACTCTCAACTCCCTCAGAATCACAGAAATAATCTTCAAAAGATCCTGTGCTTTTCTTACTTCCTCAAGATTCAGTCTCTACCAGAAGTCTTCTAGCTAACTTTACTTAAATCAGGAGCTGTGCTCTAACAGTGAAGGGCGCTGCATCAATGAGAAAAGATTTTAGGCAATCAGAAAAACAAATTTCCCCCTATGTAAATATTTTCATCTAACTCCAAAGGTTTAAAATTCACAGAATTGGAATTTTAGAGCTAATAGGAACCTTTAAGAAATAATGTCCTCACTTTCACGTGGAAACAGGGAGGGTTTTAATAAGAATTTAATTATTGAGGCCTACTTTCATATTAACTTATTTGTTCAATTTATTCAGTAAACATTTGTTGAGCATCTGATGTTTACCATGCACTTGCTAGGAGCTGGGAATACAAACATGCAAACAACTGATTCTGGGTCATTAGGAAATTCATAGTTTAGTAAGGAAGGCAAATATGAAGCTATAGTGTGCTATCTATATCTTTATCACTTTTTCTGTAGAAAAAAGTAAATGTAGTAAATATATATGGTTAATTGCTTAGAATTTAACCTTGAACTTTGTAGGGTTTTTTTGAAGGTTAAAAAGGAGTAAAAGGACACTCCAGCATGTATCAATGGTTGGAATCTTCTTTAGTCTTGAATCAAAGAAGAGTTGTATATGACATAGATAGCCAACAGTCTTTCTTTCCTGTCTGCTATTTTAAAGGTTAAGGGGACAGTACAAGCCATGTTTTAAAAAATTATTATAAAATATTTCAGATATACAAACATTTAAAGAATAACATCAATGTTACAAATACAGTTATTTTTAAGAAATAAACTATTATAGATAAGTTAAAACCTCCAGTGTACCCATTTCCAGTTGAAATCTCTCTCCCCCAGATTATCCCAATTTGTTGTATTTTATGTATATTTAATTATACATATAGTATGATATATGGTATTGTTTTGAATGTTTTAAAGCTTTATGCAGCCCCAGACAAAATACTAACAAACTGAATCTAGCAGCATATAAAAAAGGTTTATATATCATGAATAAGTGGGATTTATACCAGAAAAGCAAAATTAATTCATCATATAAAAATCAATTTAATACACCATGTTAGAATAAAGGAAAATTGGGGACATTTGTAATAATGTCAACACTAAAAAATAAAATAAAAGACAAAAACCACATGATCATCTCAATAAATGCAGAAAAGGGCATTTGACAAAATTCAACCTTTCATGTTTAAATAAAAACAAAACATTTAACAAAGAATAGAAGGAAACTTTCTCAGCGTGATAAAGGGCATCTATGAAAAACACAGCGAACAGAATAGTTAATAGTGATAGACTAAAAGCTTTCCCCCAAGGTCGGGAACAAGACAATCTGTTCTCACCACTTCTATAATCACATTTCTATACGCCAACAATGAACAATCCAAAAATAAAGTTAAAACAATTCCATTTATAATCGCATCAAAAAGAATAAAATCTTAGGAAATAAATTTAACAAAAGTGCATGACAGTGAAAACTACAAAAGATTATTGAAAGATATTTTAAGACAAATGGGAAGATACACTGTGTTCTTAGATTAAAAGACAATATTGTTAAGGCATGCTATCCAAAGCAATCCATAAATTCAACACAATTTCTATCAAAATCAGGCTGTTTTGTGGAAATTGACAAGCTGATACTTAATGGAAATTGAAAGAGACCCAGAATAGTTTAACCAATCTTGAAAAAGAAAGATCTGGAGAATTCAGCCTTCCCAATTTCAGAATTTACCACAAAGTTACAGTAATTAAGGTGGTATATAGGCCCTGGCCAGTTTGAGTCAGCGGTTAGAGCGTAGGCCCATGGACTGAAGGGTCTTGGGTTTGATTCCTGGTCAAGGGCACATACCTGAGTTGCAGGTTTGATCGTCGGCCCTGGTCAGGGTCATGCGGGAGGCAATCAGTGGGTTGCTCTCACAACAATGTTTCTCCTCCTCCCCTTCCCTCCTTTTCACTCTATCTAAAAAAAAATTAATGGAAAAATACCCTTGGGTGAGGATTAACCAAAAAAAAATAAAGATGATATGGCACTGACATAAGAATAGATATATAAATTGTTGGAATAGAATTGAGAGTTTAGAAATAAGCCCTTATATTTATGGTGAATTAATTTTTAGCAAAGGTTCCAAAACAATTCAGTGGAGAAAGAATACTCTTCAATAGATGGTACTGGGACACCTGGAGATACACACGCAGAATAATGAATTTAGATGCCCTACCTCACATCATACACAAAAATTATCTTATATCAAAGACTTAAATGTGACTCAGTGGTTGAGCATCTACCCATGCATCAAGAGGTTGCTGGTTCGATTCCCGGTCAGTGCACATGCCCAGGTTGTGGGCCAAATCCCCATTGAGGGGCATGCAGGAGGTGGTCAGTTGATGTTCTCTCTCATTGATGTTTCTATCTCTCTTCCTCTCTCTAAAATCAATAAAGAAAAAAAAATTTTAAAGAGAGGAGGAAAATACATAAATACTCTTGCAGTGTAATAGGAAGACAAGCCAATAAAAATAGGCAAAGGGTATTAAATGATCTTTCATAGTCAAACCATAATAGTTAACATTTGAGGGCTAATTATGTGCCAAGTACAAAGCACTTTACATTTAAATTTATTTAATTTCTACAATTAATCTTTGAGGTAGGCACTATTGTTATCCCCATTTTACAGGTTAAGAAATAGGGACAGTAATTCAATATACTAGTTAAGGAACATTGGAGTGGGAATCAGACTCCAGAACTCATACGTTTTTATTCACTTCACTTTACACTGTTTTAAATCCCCACCGTTCTTTTTTTTTTTTCTTTCTTTATTGATTTTAGAGAGGGAGAGAGTGATAGAAGCATTGATGAGAAAGAACATCGATTGGCTGCCTTCTGCATATCCCCCACTAGGGATTTGGCCCACAACCTGAGCATGTGCCCTGACCAGGCATTGAACTGGTGACCTCTTGGTGCATGGGTCAACCACTGAGCCACACCAGCCGGGCCCCACCATTCTTATACAAGTCTCTGTGTGGACGAGTCATTTCCCGGGGCTGACTGCAACCACCTGCAACATACCTGTTATTTTTCTCCTTTCCAGATCAATTGATGAGATGAAACAATTGGAGGAAATGTCAGCCGTGTTTCAGAGCCCCAGGGTTGAGTGCCACCCTCCAGAACCAAAATCCCAAACAGGAGGGAATGAAGATTCAGGGAGCAAAGAACAACCATGGGAAATGGTGATGGATAAGAAACACTTTAAGCTGTGGCGGCGCCCTATTACAGGCACCCATCTTTACCAGTACAGAGGTGAGCCCAGCCTGGTTGCCTGGTGTGTTCTTTGGTTACCCAGGTACACAGGACTTTTGTTCCTCACACTCTAAACTGTTCTGTTCTGGTTGTTTCTTGGGAAATTTGCCATGGTTTATTATTCGTTGTTTGTTCTCTCCTAGATGACCAGAGTCTCAGTGTCTTCTTTGCTATACTTTGCTGTAGAGTGTCTTTGCTGCCCCAGTATGACTTCTATTTTCTGAATCTGCCTTTACTGTAGTACTGAATCTGTCAGTACTATAATTGAAATACTGTTAAATGATAGGAATATGGTGTGAGTGATGAGAGTGTGGCAAACATCCTTGATTCTTACTTGTCATTCTAGTTTTTGGAACCTACACAGATGTGACACCCCGGCAGTTCTTCAATGTTCAGGTGAGTACATTCTTCTTCTCTAAGTTGGAGCCTCTAAGCCTGGAAATTCACTTAACCATAGTCCACATGAATAATTTCTCTTTACTCAGAAGACATTGGCTTCATTATATCCATCCATCTCTCTACCCCTCATCTCACATCGAATAGTATTTAGGTAAATATTTGACTTATAATTTCTTTGTCCAGTGGGAATAAGACCAGTTTTACCCCTCAATAACTAATTGGTGATTATTCTACCCACTGCAAGTGCAGTTTCCTTACAGGACTGTTGGAAATATCAAATAGAGGAATGGATTTGAATGTTTTAATATGTTTTATAAGGATTTGTAGTATTTTTTCCCTAAACAATTTGAGGGTAAGTTACATACTTGGCCCTTTATTCCAAAATCCTTCAGTGTGTATTTCCTAAAACTAGACTTATTCTCTTAACTAACCATGGTACCCTTACCAAAGGAAATTTAACATTGATGCAACCTTTACGTAATCTCTTTGTATTCCAATTTTATACATTGAGCTAATAATGTCCTTTATAGCATTTTCCTCTTTATTACAGATTCAGTCAGGATTTAGTAATTTGGAACGTTTCCACCGTGAAGGTATTTTTTTAAGGAGATGAAGCGTGTTTGTTCAAAGACTGCTTTTCCTCCTTGGTGGGAAATAGATGAAAAGGGGAGATGGGAACATCCAGGGTTCTGCAAACAACTTTTTTTTTTCCAGGATATTTTTAAAATTTTTTTTTTTCTTTATTGATTTGAGAGAGAGGGGAAGGGAGAGGGAGAGAGAGAAACATCAATGAGAGAGAACATTGATTGGCTGCCTTCTGCATTCCCCCCACTGGGGATTTGGTCCATAACCTGGGCATGTGCCCTGACCAGTAATTGAACCAGCGACCTCTTGGTGCATGGGTCGACGCTCAACCACTGAGCAACACTGGCTGTGCTCCTTCCTGGGTTTTTCATTTGTTTTGCTGGACTCTCAATAACTATACTTGATGATTATAACACCTACTATAATATGCAAGTGCACACATTCCCCTAAGCACTGAAATTTTTTGAATTTATATTGAATTTTTGTTGGTTTATTTATTTATTTAGTTTTTTAATCCTCACCCGAGGACATTTTTCCATTTTTTGTTCAGATAGAGCGGGAGGGAGAGAGAGGAAGAGAGAGAGAGAGAAACATCGATGTGAAGGGACACATCGAGTGGCTGCCACCCGCACAACCAACCAGGGCCAGGGACAAACTGCAACTGAGGTACATGCCCTTAGCGGGAACCGAACCCGGGTCTCTCTGTACCGCAGGCTGACGCTCCAGTTGAGCCAAACCGGCCAGGGCAAATTTTTGTTGGTTTAGATGCGTATGATCATGTCTTATTTTGCAATTCCTTAGTTACTAGTGATGTTAGGAATTTTAAAAAAAATATGCTACTTGTATTTCTTTGTGTGAGGTGTCTGCTCATCCTTTGAACTTTTTGTCTATTTAAAACTTTAAAATTGTTTTATCCTTACACATTTGTATCACCATCTATTGTATTTCAACCAGGCACACCTGTTACAGTATTTTTTTTTTTTTTCTTACATTGTTCTTTGATTTGTCTTTTTCTTGTTAAGATTCACTTTCAAGGTAATGGTTTTGGCCTACAAGAAGAGATTTTATTCTATTTTATTTTTTTAATCCTTACCCGAGGATATTTTTCTATTTTTATCTTCAGATAGAGTGGAAGGGAGGAAGAGCACAATATTGATGTGAGAGATACACATTGATTGGTTGCCTCCCACACGACCCCAACTGGGTCCAGGGATGAACCACAACCGAGATACGTGCTCTTGGCCAGAATTGAACCCAGGACTCTTTGGTCTGCAGGCCAACGTTCTAACTGCTGAGCCAAACCACCAGGGCAAGAAGAGATTGTAAAGAGTCATCCATAGTAAAGACAGCCATGTCTTTCACATTTTAGCACTGTCTTTTAGGTTGGATCACTGTTTCAGAAAAAAGTCCTGGGTCACATCTGGAGACGCATTCTGCAACTTTATTTTAAATCTCTGGTCTTTTCTCTCCATAGCTGGATACAGAGTATAGAAAAAAGTGGGATGCCCTGGTAATCAAGCTAGAAGTGATTGAGAGGGACGTCATCAGTGGTTCTGAGGTTCTTCACTGGGTAACACATTTTCCTGTGAGTATTTTTACTTCTACTAAAAGTAGTTTTACTTTAACTATATCCATGTGAGACAGAACAATAATCTTGCTCCTCCTTTGTTTTTAGTATCCAATGTACTCACGGGATTATGTTTATGTTCGGCGGTACAGTGTGGATCAGGAAAACAATGTGATGGTGTTGGTGTCACGGTATGTATGGTTACCTGGGGTTTCACCTGAGTTCCATAAGCTGTGCCCTTCACTCATATATGTCTGTGGTGGGTTTGCATGTTATATGTCTGTGGTGGGTTTGCAAATTCTCAGTGCTCTTGTAAGTGAAGCCTGGACCCCATCCAACCCAACTAAAACATGAGATTGAAGGGATATATGCTTTTCATGAAATCATTTCTTCAGTTTCTTAATATTGGTAATTTAAAAAAGAAGTACTCTGTCTTCAACACAAAGCCTAGTAAGCTAGGAATTACCAAGGGAACTCACTTTGTTTTAGAAGTTGGTTTGTATTCATTTGGCTTAGTGACTCCTCTGTTATATTTTATTTTATTTTTTTAAAATCCTCACCCAAGGACATGCTCAGAGAGAGAAAGAGAGAAAAACATCAGTGTTTGAGAGAAACATTGATTGGTTGCCTTCTGTACGCTCCCCAAATTGAAAATCAAACCTTAAACCCAGGAATGTGCCCTGACTGGGAATAGAACCAGTAACCTTTTGATACAAGAGATGACACTGGCCAGGTTTCTCTGTTGTAATTTAAATATTAGTGGCAGCTGCCTGGCCAGTATGGCTTAGTTGGTTAAGCGTCATCCCATGCACCAAGAGGTCACCGGTTCAATTCTCAGTCAGGGCACATATCTGGGTTTCGAATTCAATCTTCAGTCTGGGAGCATATGGAAGGCAACTGATCAATGTTTCTCTCACACATTGATGTTTCTCTCTAAAATCATTAAAAATATTATAAATAAGTAAATATTAGTGCCAGCTTTTTAGATTTCCCTCTTAACTTTAGCTATTATGCTGTTTTGTATGTAAACATTACTTAGTTTCTTTAACTTTTCTCCTTACCAGTGCTGTGGAGCACCCTAGTGTTCCAGAGTCTCCAGAATTTGTAAGAGTCAGATCATATGAATCCCAAATGGTTATCCGTCCCCACAAATCATTTGATGAGGTGAGTTTTACATCATCCAAGGGGTGATGTGTAGCAGCTTTGGAATTTTCTCAAGGAATGCCTTTTATGTGAAATGGGGAGGGCGTGGTTGCTGTAGGGCATTGGTTCACAGAATCCACTGGAGCCTGAGAATCTGCATTTTTAAAAAGTTCCCAGGTAAGCCTGATGCTGTTGGACTGAGGACCACACTTTGGGAATCTCTGCTGTGGGCTGATAACTGGAGGATTCCCCCCATAACAAAGTCCCATTTATCTGGAGATATGAGAAGATGATGATGATATCCCCTAACTCATCAGCCTGTGGTTAGCATCATTCTTTAGGGACTAGAGCGAGTACTTTTCCATTAAAATTTCACCACAATGGGCAGAACATACACAACCCTTCTGGACTTCTGTTTCCTTGTCTGTAAAATGAGAGGGTTAGACCAGTGATTTTCAACCTTTTTCATCTTGTGGAACACTTAAACTAATTACTAAAGTTCTGCAGCTGACCTGATCAAAAAAATAAGTATAATTTTGATTAATTCACACCAAATGGCTAGTGTTGTGTAGGCTGTTATCATTTTTTAATTTAGCAATTCAAAATGTCAGGTATTGGCATTTTTAAAAAATTCTTACGGTACACCGGTTGAAAAACACTGGCTTAGACTAATGCTGTCTGCTTTCCTTAAAATTCTATGACTGTTCTGCCCTTGGCCAGTTTGGCTCAGTGGTTAGAGCATCAGCCCACAGACCAAAGAGTCACGGGTTCAATTCCGGTCAAGGGCATGTACCTCGGTTGCGGTTCGGTCCCCGGCCCTGGCAGGGGTTGTGCAGGAGACAGCCAGTCGATATATCCCTCTCTCACATTGTTTTTTTTTTTTTTTTTTTGTCTCTCTCTCTCTCTCTCCCTCCCACTTTGTCTGAAGATAAATGGAAAAATATCCTCAGGTGAGGATTTAAAAAAAAAAAATTCTATGACTGTTCCCTTGAGAATGTTTTCATCAACTTGGGTGTTTTGTTTTTTAGCAAAATCTTTGTTCAGTATATATATTTCTAGTGTTTGCTTTTTTTACTTTTATTTTACTTTATATTTTTAGTATATGTGCTGCCAAAACAAGTTTCTTTTTTTTTTTTTATCCTCACCCGAGGACATTTTTCCATTTTTTGTACAGATAGAGTGGGAGGGAGAGAGAGAGAGAGAAACATCGAGGTGAAAGGGACACATCCAGTGGCTGCCACCCGCACGACCAACCAGGGCCAGGGACAAACTGCAACCGAGGTACATGCCCTTAGCGGGAACTGAACCCGGGTCTCTCCGGACCGCAGGCTGATGTTCTAACCGCTGAGCCAAACTGGCCAGGGCAAGTTTCTATTTCACTTTATAAAAGCTATGTGAACCGTGTTTTTTAGTATGGTTTTATTTTCATCAAGTTTTATTTTATTATTTTCTTTTTATTGATTTATTTTTGAGAGAGGGGTCTAGGTAGTGGTGGGAGAGAGAGAGAGACATTCATTGGTTGCCTCTGTCTGCACCCTACTAAGAATTGAACCCGAAACCTGGATATGTGCCCTGACTGGGAATTGAACCTATAACCTTGCAGTGTACAGGACAGTACTCACCAGCCACACCAGCCAGGGCTCAAGTTGTTTTATTTATACCACCTGAAGTGGGACTTGAAATATGACAGAGAAATTGTGATTCACCTCAGACAGTGTGTGTTTGCCTCTCTTTTTACTTGGAGATCTGTGTGTTTACTTCAGAACTATTTTTAGAGAAGTATTTTTTAAACTATGGCTTACTGCCCATTAATAGAAGACAAAATTAGTACCATGCATTATGACCAGCTTAAAAGTAAAAAGGAAAAGAGTAAGTAAAACAGTAGGAACCATCTGAGTGTAAGTGTATTTTTTTTAATCTTCACCTGAAGATATTTTTTTCCCATTTATCTTCAGATAGAGTAGGGTGGGGAGGGGAGAGAAAAACATAGGTGTGAGTGAGACATATTGATTACTTGCCTCCCACACGACCCCCACCAGGAACCGAACCACAACCGAGGTACTTGTCCTTGGCTGGAATCGAACCCGTGACTCCTTAGTCTGAAGGCTGACGCTCTAACCACTGAGCAAAACCAGCCAGGGCTGAGTGTAAGCGTATTTCATGAGACTTGTTTAGTTACATAAGTGTGTGAATGTGTGTCGAGAGAGAACTGGGTTGCAGTGTAAAAAGGATTATTTACAGTGTGTTGTAGTTAAAAATGTTTGAAGACAGAAAAGACATAAGACTGCTGTTGATGGCTAGTTACCTTTAGGAAGGAGAGTCCAGATTAGGCTGGGAACAGTGTAGGCAGACTTCTGTAGCTTTTGAAAATTGAACCTTGTCTATGTATTTTCTGTGTGAAAAAAAGTGAATTGAGTTCCTGCATTGTTGCCTTTAGAAACCGTGAGCATGAAACAGCTAAGGGATAGTTCAGCACCTAGCAGAGTGTTTTGTATCTAGTAGGCATCCAATAAAGAATTTCTTTAGCTGGGGTAGAGACACAGTAGGAATTATCTATATAATTCTTTTAGTGTAGTTGTGGCAAGCTCTTATGAATAATGTAAGGATTGAGTTAGTTCTTATGAAAAGGCAGGTGGACTGTAGATAGAGGAACACAGGAAGGATTCTGTGGGTAGAAAACATGATTCAACCAAAGACAACGATGAGAATGAGCTTTGGGTGTGTTCAAGATGCAGTACACAGAAAGAAAGGTGGAGGCTGGGGGAGTGATAAATTGCATTGACCTATACAGAGGGTACTTGATAAAGGCAGCCGAGTTTGGATTTGCCCTGGGTATAGTGTGGTTTTTTTTTTCTTTTTATTATGGAAAAGTTGGAATGTATATAAAAGATAAAGAATTAGTGATAACCTGATGTATCCATCCCAGCTCCAACGGGGATTGACTCATAGCCAAATTTGCTTTATCTGTACCCTTTCCCACTACCTTGATTGTTTTGAAGTAAATTCCAGCTTTGCTATAGAAGAACCCATAGAAGAATTTTTCTATAGTTATTTCAGTAATTATCTCAAAAAGAGATTTTTGAAAACATAACCTCAGTATCCTAATGATCCCTAATATCAAATATGTAGTCAATGTTCAAATGTTCCTGGTTGTCCATGATTTTTTTTTTTAGTTGGTTTATTAGAGTTGAGATCTAAATAAGATTTAGACATTCGAGTTTGTTTATATTATGTCTTTTTTTTTTATCCTCACCCGAGGACCTTTTTCCATTTTTTGTTCAGATAGAGTGGGAGGGAGAGAGAGAAAACATCTACGTGAAAGGGACACATCAAGTGGCTGCCACCCACACGACCAACCAGGGCTGGGGACAAACTGCAATCGAGGTACATGCCCTTAGTGGGAACCGAACCCTGGTCTCTTTGGACCAACCGCAGGCTGATGCTCTAACCGCTGAGCCAAACCGGCCAGGGCTGTCTTTTTTTTTTTTTAAGTATTTGCTATGACATATATTTTATTGCCTATATGTTCGTGGTATTTTCATATTATCAAATAGGATAATTCTCTCAACAACTCTGTGAGGCAGGCACTAATTTACAGACTAGGGCACTGAAAACAAAGTTAAGGGACATATTTGATTTTATACAACTGTGATAATACTGGTCACCATTATATATACCAACAGCCCCTGGTGCTTTATTTTCTTTCTATTTTTCTTACCCAAGGACATTTTTTTATTTTTTTGTTTAGATAAGAGTGGGAGAGAGAGAGAGAAGCATCGACATGAAAGGGACACATTGAGCGTCTGCCTCCTGCAGGATTTCAACCAGGGCTGGGAACGAATTGCAACTGAGGTACATGCCCTTGACCGGAGTCGAACCCACAACTCATTGGTCCACGGGCCAATGCTGTAACCGCTGAGCCAAACTGGATAGGGCCCTAGTGCTTTATATGTGAATTGTTTTACTAAATGCTATGAGATAGGTAATATTGTCATTCCCAATGAATAGACCAATAAATTGACATACTTTGTTATTTCACCTGCCCACAGTCACACACACAGTAAGTGGTAGAGCTGAGTTTTCAATCCAGGGTGAAACTGACCTCTAAGACCAAACGCCAGGCAGCATTTATTGTCTAATCTGGTTAAGTGCTACAGTCACAGATTGAACCCATTGTCCTCAGAATCCAGAACTGGTGCTCACTTCTCTGTACATTTTGCCAAGACACCTCTACCCTCAACAACAACTTTCACCTTGAGTTCCTCATCTGGCACATGATTGAATGAGCAGTGAGATGACGTGTTCAGGCAGGGAGAAAGAGGGTGGAGAATGGAAGGTTTGTGTGATTCCTGTAACCAGACAATCAGCCTCTGAAGAATAGGTTGTGCACTGAATATAAAATTGCATTCAGAAGGGGAGTATAAATCCTCAGATACCTAGAAGAGTATGTGTGTCTAATATAGGAAAATTTAATTTTAAATTTTTTGACAGTTCATTTAATATTAGTTTCAGGTGTACATAGTGGTTAGGCAGTCATATAATTTACAAAGTGACCCTCCTGATATTTTAAGTGCCCACCTGACACATATATAGTTATTACAGTATTACTGACTGATACAGGTACTTCTCGCAAACACCAGAGAGGTGTTATCGGACAGCCTTCTGACTTGGGGGAGAGGACTGTCCTCAACTTCCATCTTGTCTCTTCATATAAATGAACTCAAACGAGAAAATTCTAGATGACTGCATTGTGGAAAAAAACAATTTATAAAAGTAAACAAGTTTTATTATAAAAGCAAATAAGCAAATCTATACATCTGGTTTTTGTAGGACCAGCTGTCAGCTAACCTGAAGAGTGAGTTGGAGGGGGGGTCCGAGGCCTTACTATAGGTTGCAGAATTTCTCTGCTGAATATTTTGGTACAGATTAATTCTCAAGGTCCCTTTTTACTTTGTTGTGGCCTTCCCAGAATTCCTGAGAAGCTCCTAGCAATTTTACCTTGTCAAGCTTTGAGACTGATG